CCAGGAATCAGTGGAGTTGCCGGACCTCCGGGACCACCCGGACCACCAGGACCTCCTGCCCCCCCTGCTCCACCTGCTCCTGCGTGTTGTGCAGTGCCGCCCCCAGGGAAGTAAATCTGATCGGGAATCGTGTATTGTTGTGGCGTATAACTATTACAACTCTTTTTTATTCTGTCCATGTACCACCTTACCAACTCGACATGATTTTCAGTCAAGAATTGTCATTTTTCTTTTGAGGTGATGTAACGGGTTTATGCACACCATTTTGTTTATATTTTAAGTGCACGTCTAATATTTACAATTTTAACAAGAATAGTGCTATTAATAATGGTGATAATAATGGTGTAATACAATAATCAAATCAAAACAAATCTTTTTATCTCATTACTATGTTGTTTTGCGAGAGAAGTGCTGCACGGCTTGGTTAAAGTGAAGTTAGTAGTATAAAAGTTAATTCGAAAAAGGAACATTTTCCAACAAATATCATTTACATTATCTTGTAACATTGACTGGTGCAATGGATTTGTACTAAAGTGATGAAACAAATGCAAGAGCTAATAAAAAGTTTTAACAAATCAATTACAGTAGCCTTGAAACATTTGTTTCATAATCATTTTGTCTCTTGCACTTTCAATACTTTCCGTTCATTTTCACAACACACTTTTTCGCGTTTAAGAACGTTCCATTAACTCAAAAAATTAAACTTGGCAATGTACGCTAGTCAAGAATTGCATTATTTTTCTCTGCTTTAATAGACTTTGAGTATTGTGTTATTACCTATAACATATCACATTTGTTATATTCTCAAAGTTAAGAAAGAGCTTTCTCAGGCTCTTTGCTCCCACAAATTCTCCAGTCTATTGCTTTCGCGCTCGTGGACTGATTGACGTAGCGTGAATGATCTCTTCGAGTCCTTGAGCTTCAATCGCTCGCGCTAAGAAAATTTGTATCGCTACATCTTACAAGGGTGCCCTAATTTACTCCAATGAGTCGAAGAAAGAGCCAGTCTGTCTTCTCAACCGCAAAGTCCATTTGGTCAACTCAAGCGAAAATCAAACATGACAGAAGTAGAATTCAAACACCCGCAAAAAACTAAAATTGTGTTCACCAGTCGTTCCGCTTCAATGTTTTTCATTGTGGAGCAATTCGCATAAAACGCGCCTACAATCAATATGCCACCTTCAGTCCATTAAGGAAACTGCATTTTAACTCTGCAAGTATTTCCCTTTTAGTTAAGAATGCAAAGAAAATCAAAGCAGGAAGTTACTCGCAATCAGCCCCGTTTCCCACTACCGCGCAAGTTGTTCCACTCTTGCGCATGAGCGCGCTGTCGGGTCGCCTGATAAACGTAAGCTCTCAAATATGTTTTGAATTACGTGCTTGAGAGGCTGAGATCACACAATAAAATCACTGAACTACAAAGCGTTAAGCAGTTTGTTTTGAAGGAGGGACTAGAAGGTAAGTCTGGTCATTGTTTGAAGCCGTGAATGTAATTATATACGCCACTGATGAAGTAGTTAAGCTAGAAAAGTTATCAATGAAAGCAGACCGCAAAAAGCCGTTTACATAGGATGCAAAGCCATGACTTAAATGACAAGAAGAAAATTTTTTCTAAGTAGAGTACGGATCAGTGATTCTGTCATACGTTTGTTCAAGTCATTTACAATTAATTTCGAGTTTGTTTTTGTTTACTTGAGACTAAACATGGACATCCGTGTTCTGTTGTTGATTGCCATTGGACTGGTGCTCTGTGCCGCTGATCCAATCAAGAGTAAGTAAAAAAAACTTATTAGCTTAGCTTACTGCCTTCTTCACAACATAGCCCACTTGACTCTAAGAGAGTGCATTTTTCATGTGATGATTTTGATGTAACATTCCAGGGAAAAACTCGAACAACACAACCCTGGTCATTTTCGCTCACCATTTGTGCGTAACGAAGTTGCTATAGTTATATTTGCTCTCTAGAATCCAATGAAATCACTACGACTGTTTTGATAACTTGCTTTCTGCACTAAGAGATAGAGATAGAAGCTATTAAAAGTCCTTTTTTCCTGCCAAAATGACATTTCTTCTCAAAATTCAGATAGCTACGGGAACATCTCGTACTCAGAATTGTGCGATGTTTGGTTGTCCCATGAGTGCCGGAATGACTTCCTGTCAATTTGAACAGGGTGAAGAACGCTTGGTATAAAGAAAAGAAAATGTATTCGCAATATGTGGCCTTCCAAAGGCACTAGTTTAGATTGAATTTGTTTTAATATGCTTTTGCAATTACCAGAATATTTTCTTTCTCTCTTTTGTTATCATTACTACTCGTCTGCCCTTTTCCTGCGAGAATTGTTCTTCTATGAATAACAGAAATATGCTACAAGAGGAAATATCTAAGTCACTTGTTGTCATATCCAAGAAATAACTCTCGGATTAGTCGAACAAACACATACAGAACCTCTGGATATGAAGATTTGAGCAACAAAGTCATCCATACTCTGAGATGGAGTGATTATGACTGGATCAAGGGAAACTTGCAGAAATATCTATGTTTAAATACTTCCAAGAAGTGATTAACAAGTGGCTTCCTCTGTAATCTCAACACTTAAAAATATCCAGAAATCAGGAACTGAAAGTAGATAAACTCTTACGTGTAAACGAGGGGGAGAGAAGTCGTCTTAATGAGACAATCAGTTTACTATCAGTTGAGGGGAGGAGGGGTAATTCCTAATGAGATCTAAAGCTAAAAGTTGATTTTGTTGACATTCCAGCCAAAAGGGATGCGCAATACAATTACATGTATCCAGGTTCCGAGGGATCCCAGGGCCCCCAAGGCCCTATTGGTAACGCGGGAAGACGGGGACCAACCGGAGATCCCGGCCCACCCGGCCCACCCGGACCACCCGGACCACCCGGACCACCCGCTCCACCAGGTCCCGCCGGAAGAAGATAAATGAACTAGAATTAACTAAACGTGAATTAACCAAAATGAAACGTGCAAGAAATTTTATACTTCTCTGCAATTCATTTAATGCTCGTCAGTTCATTTTGAAAAGAATAAACTGATTTGGGAGCCGCAAAAACAGCCATGTGAAATTTCAAGAAAAAAAATTGAATAAAAAAAACCATACTGCAAACTCTTGATCTCTTGGTACTTGATTTAACGAAATTATATTTTTTATGGTAACGGTAAAGCTTTGTTTTGTTCTGCTGTACCATTATAAAATTATAACATTTAATTGTCCGAAATCACACGGAAGGAAGGACCTTTGCTCTTGTTGCGTATGTATATTTTATGTGACTACGACTACTTCGTTAGCAAAAACATAGGTATTTTCCAGTTCTTTGCGACTTTACGTAAATTTATTTTCCTGGGCTGCCTGGTTTCTTGATTTCTGTCGATGTTGTTGTTTTTTGTTTGTTTGTTTGTTTGTTTTTTTTTGCTGGAAATCTTGAGATACCTAGCTTACACACGGTGTGCTTGCAGTTCTTTCCCTAGATCATCTTGTGATACCCGTATGAAAAAATACTGATTGAACGCTCTCAACCATAATAGAAACTGTCCACAATTGCATAATACCAACCAGTTTACTCAGAGAGTGAGATTACGACCATGTTCTATTTCCCGCCTTCACAAAAAGATACGAAAATGTTGAGATGTTTATCATGGTTTTTTTTTTATGATAACAGAATGTGAAAGCTCAGATTATTTAGCCAATGCATTAAGAATATAACTATGATTTAAACATCGTTCGTTGAAAAAATTAAGCATGAAATGCTTATGTGAACACAGCTGCGCAAAGTTTCTCTAAATACTTCCCGAGTTAAGTGGTTCGAATTGCGATGTACTAATTCATATTTTAGGTTAGTTTTCTAAGGTAATCAAATAGGCCAATCAGATAAGAGGAAAATTTCACGCAAGCTACCTGAAGCGATTGACTGAATCACGATTGGTCTTAGTTTTGAGTCTGATTAGCTGAGAAAGTTGTGCGAGTTTTCTGGAACAATCACATCAAAGAAAATCAAAATCAAAGGAATCTCAGGTTACATTCGACAAACAATCGAAATTGCTCTAACGGACTCGATATCTTTTAAAAAGTTTTTCTGGCCCGGTAAAGAGATTTTGAAGGCAGCAAGGTTTTAAGTCATTTTGTACTCATAGAGCGAGCATGCAGTTTCTCTGAAAATAAAAATTAGTGTAGCCTGAATCTATATGAGCCTTATAGTATACGTTTCCACTGCTGTTAATACCGGTAAGAAATACCCACCAGCTAAACACCGCACGGGGTAAAATGTTTGCTTGGCAGTCTCCGGTTGCGAGCGGTCGATGAATCTATTTTATGGCCAGAATAGCCTACTGATTTTCCAAAACCCTCACTTCAGAAAAGACTAATTAGGATGCAAGAAGGAAGCTTTTACTTTGGCAAGTCTCAAAACAGCCCAGTTAAAAAATAATCTCGAAAATAAACAAGATATAAAATTAGAGTACCAAATCGAAGGCAATTTATTATTAATGGTCGAGAATCAACAATTGTCCTCCAGAGAGAAAGTGAATTTAGATATAGGTTTTCACGCATGCCATTATTAAGTCTCTGAAAGGCTTTTAACTGAATTAACTTGCGCTTAGTTTTAATTTCAAATCGCGGTAAGAAAACGAAAACGAAAATGAGAGGCCTTTCAGGCTTTTGTCACCAGTGCTGCCATACTTGGTCGACGTTATCTAATATTATCAACACCTTGGCAGACGTTGTTAGATCCACTTCCAACTATAATTCCGTCGTTTTTCTAGATTTCAACCCTTTCTACCTCTTCAATTCATTATCATGGGTGATTTATTTAATTCACCCGGAACGGCATTTGGCCTTCACTTGTTCGCGTCTCAATGTCAAAACTGATTGACGTTTTAGACCTTGCCTGGTTTCTATAAAAAATTGAACGGTTCAAAAGCTAAAGAACAATGGTTTGAACCGGTACCGTGAGGGGCAGGTCAATAACCCTTGCTTATTCTTACATCATGAGTAGATAACGAGGATTATTCCCTTCTATTTCCCCCTGTGGTAAAATAACAACAAACAGCATTTTCTCTTGGGAGGAAAAGGTTATCGGGAGAAGGTAAATACATGAAATTTAAGTGATCGAGTCCCTTTAATTCGCCTAAAGCGAGTTTATTGGGGGTTGTAATCTGTGACGCATTGGAAAGCACTTAAATTTTCTGGTTCGCCCAAGTTGTGCTCAGCTCTTCAAGTTGGTGAACCAGAACACTTCCGAGCCAAAACAGATACGGATTGCAAGTAGGTTTGAATTGAATTATTCCTCAAACAATAACGAGTTCTTTCTTTTATATCCTCCAGGAGAATGGGGATAAGATTCTTTGTAATTGTAGTCCTTTTTGGACTAATAACACTTTCTACATTAGACGCTAAGTCACTGAAAGGTAAGCGAATCTTTTCTAAAAATATTTCATGATTGTTTCAGTTGATATCAAAGAAAGCGTTCGCAAATTTCTGAAGTATCTTCTTTCTCTTTGAGATATATCTGGGAGCAAAGAATTCTGTAAATGCACTTCAGCGTCTGCAAAGTGTGCAATCTAAACTTGAACCACTTTTGAAGACCACGGCTGGATTACCTAAACAATTTAATATTTTATCGAATGCAATGTTTCACTCTTGATCAACTTAATAAGAGAGGTTTTTCAGCGTCGATCTCACCGATAGTGTTATGAATTTTAACACTGAATGTTTTTTAAGATTGTAGTTTAGTGTATAACACTGCAAAAGTTCGAGAAAAAGATCGTTGAATCAAGCTATTTATAATAAAATGTAAACCATCTTCGTTACAACCACTTTTACTTTAAATTTGGGAAATGGTTACTGAAGAGTAATTAATAGAAGATTTTAAACTTGCACGCTTGTCTACTTCTAAGTTTAGTCAAGTTTAGTTAAGGGGTTTTGATCTCTTCACGAGTATCTGATGATGAGGGTAAAAACATCCGAAGAAGACTGTCTGTTATCTGCGTCACTAATGACTTAACGAGCAAGGTTACTCGATACTCACAAAGCTCTTCACACAATGGCTATCGCAATTTCCCACAAGTCATTGGTGAAAAAGCTTACTTCCTCTGGGAAACAAAACATGGCCGATCCAAAATTAAGTAACGATTTATTCCGCGCACCTAACGATGGCATTTATTAAAGGAATAACGTATAAAAGTTATGGTTACATTGCTAACCTACTTTAATTTTGAAATAATTTTTTTCTCTTCTCTCCCCTATGCAAGGACACAAGAAATCCAAGCACGGTAAGCTCCTTAAAGCTCTCATTCATACGGAGCCCGCCAAAGGTAATCAATAAACACTCATTTGCATGCTCACTTTGCATGTAAATTGGACACCTTATGTAACGGCTGGTGCGGATGTACTATGGTTAACGTTACTAAGAAAATATAAGAACGGCAATTCCCTGATTCTTTACTCACTTTAGACCGCTGAAGCATTGCAGTGGTTCTATAACGGTTCGGGGATGCTTCCAAAATTTTTAAAAAAGAACACGACTATAATTGGAACACCTCACCAGATCACGAATGCACCTCTCAATTTTTATTGAAACGATTTAAGGCAGCCTGAATAATAAACTAAACGCTAATAATTACCTCCTAGATTATGTTTGCGTTATTATCCTGTACACCTAAACGGTCAAAGAAATCAAAATCACACTACTTTCAATAAGAGTGGCTTCCTTAGGAAATTCGCGATAGTTTCTGACTTTTTTCGATGCTTGCCAGAGAAAGACTATTTGTCTAATTTGCAGAATGTCGTAATTTATTCTTATTTGTCACAGACGAAGACAAAAAGAAGAATGATGAACCTGCTCCCGAAGAAGCCTCCGGAAGTGCTGCTGGTAAGTGGGTGGCCTTTGCACATTCAGGGCTTCAGCCTGTTATAGCATTTTTTTCACGTAGGCAATACGCATACCTAACGATAACATCTATGATCGGAAAATGGTCTCCACCAACACATTTTCGCCTAGAATGAACACCTGGCGAGCACGTCTTTGCACATCCGCCATTGCCTTGGAAAAATTAAAACCATGACAACGTTGGATAGAAAGTAAAACAATGCTCAATGCATCAGTCATGTTTTCGTTTACGCCACGCTCACCATTAGAGCTGCATTGTGTCTGTAATCAAGCTTAAACATTTTTCTCGTTTAAACGTAATTATAGGTGCATCTGCAGCCGGAAGTGGAGAAGAATCCGGCTCCGCCGAAGAAGGTAGGATTGTTTTTTTTTTCTCAGAATATCGTCCAGATAACTTTCTGCTTTATTGAAATACTACAAATCAAGGTAATCTGATGATCGCCATGAAGCAAAGCGGCAAATTGTTGAAATTACTTTGTTCAATTCTCGTCTGTCCTAAGAGACAAAAACATGAAATTGATCGTTAAGTTTCTAGCAAAGTGTTAGTTCCAACTGATTTTCGAGTGGATTTGAAGTACTCTTGGTGTGCAAAGGGGATTCTAGTTTTTGTTTTTAACTATTTCGGCTGGTGCTAGTTGATCCTGCAACTGGATTCACTTTCATTATATGAGTTGGTCCTTTTTTCTTGCAACAGCCTTTTGCAGAGATCTAATTTCGTTTTCCTTATTCTTTTCTGACAGCTCCCCCAACTGAAGGTGAAGGACCACCCCCTCTTATAGTCCCCACCCCTGCCCCTGAGCCCCGAATCTGCCCTGGTAACTGCCCCCAAGTGTGCGCACCAGCCTGTATGGAGAACTGTTGCCAAGCACCCCTGCCCCCACCATGCACACCACCTGCTCCCTGCCCCGCTCCCATGCCGGTACCAATGCCTGCCCCTTGTCCCTCAGTTTGCGCACCATTGAACCTCCCCTCTTGTTGCCAAGCTCCACCCCCTCCACCTCCACCCC